AAAAAGAGCAAAATACATAAGTGCATCACTGTATACACAATTCATATAAAAAATTACTAGAATAACTAGTGTTAGTATAAGAGAAACAACATAAAGATAGACCTTGAGTCCCATGAAAAAAATTATTCCATGTCTTATCCTTGGGACAAGGCATCCAAGGGTAACTACAAAGGGCCGCCCCCCTCAAAACTCCTGCAATCAATCTCCTGAACCAAGATAACATGGTGTGACAATGAAGGGGAGTAAAGAGAAACACTAGTAGAAAAATACAAATAGGCAACCCCCTAATGGCACCGGTTCAGGCCAAACCGGTGCCAAAAACCGGCCTAAAAATGAGCAAGTTTTTAAACAAAGAGAAATGGCACCGGTTCAGCTCAAACCGGTGCCAAAAATAAAAAGGGAACCGGTTTGAACCGGTGCCTAACCAAACCGGTGCCTAACTGAACCGGTTTTTAATTACTAAAAAAAAACCCACCCATTTATATACCCCAAACCCTAAATAATGACCCTATTCTCTCTCTCCTCTGCCTCTTTCTCTCTCCTCTCCTCCTCTTTCCTTCTTGCTCAGGCCAATTCACCATCAATCTAGCTTCTTCATTTCTATGTATTTCTGAAACTCCTCCTCCTTTCTATCACTTGAAGACGAAAAAGAAATAGAAGATAACAACAAATCGAAGACCAAAAACCGCGGTTTGATGTTGTTTTCGACTTTGATGTTTTTCGATTGCAATTTCAATTTCGATTTTGATTTTGTTTTTCAAGTTGCATGCGGTTTTGGGGTTTTGTTTTCGTGATTTTCAGGTTTTTTTTTCGATTTTCAAGTAATTTCGATGTTTTATTTTCGTTTTTCGATTATTTTTCTTCAATTTCTGGGTTTTATTTTTCAATTTCAATTTTGATTGTGTTGTTTTCGATTTTGATTTTGTTTTTCGATTTCAATTTCAATTTCGATTTTGATTTTGTTTTTCAAGTTGCATGCGGTTTTTGGGTTTTATTTTCGTGATTTTTAGGTTTTTTCGATTTTCATTTTTTTTTTCAATCTCTGGGTTTATTTTATTTTTGTTTTCAAGTTTGTTTTAATCAAATTTTTAATCAATTTCGATTTTGATTTTTTTTTTCAGATTTTGATTTTTTTTTCGATTACAATTTTTTTTGTTTTCTGGGTTTTTGTTCGATTTTAATTTTTTTGTCGATTTCTAATTTTTTTTCTGGGTTTATTCGAATGTTGTTATATTTATTTTTTGGGTTTTTTTTAATCGAATTTAATTTTATTTATTTTTTGGGTTTTTTTAAATCGAATTTAATTTTATTTATTTTGTGGGTTTAATTCTTTTTTAACTGTTCTGGGTTTTTTTTTTTATTTTTTCGCAGCTTGTTCATTTTAATCAATTTATTTTTGATGTTTTAATTTGCGCAGGTATACATAATCCAAGAATCAAGAATCAAGAATCAAGAATATGGGGATTTTTAGATTGTGATGTTGTAGTATTTTTTTTTTGATTTATATTGTAGTTTTTTTTTATTTATATGTTGTAATTTTTTTTATTGATCTATGCTGTAGAATTTTATTGATTATATATTAAACAGAATCGTTTATATTGATTGTGATGTTTGATTTATATTTTGTGTTTTTATTTAATTTTGTTTATTTAATTTTTAAGCAAAAAAAACAAAAAAAACAAAAATTGATTTTTGGGGGTTTTTTGGCACCGGTTAACCGGTGCCAAAAACTTTGAAAAAAATTTCAGTGGGCCTTTTTGGCACCGGTTAACCGGTGCCTATTCCACGCTATGGCACCGGTTTTGAACCGGTGCCAAAAACTTGGTTTTTGGCACCCCTCACATAGGCAGCGGTTCAAACCGGTGCCTTAGACCGGGTTTGAACCGCTGCCAAATGCATTTTTTCACCTAGTGAAAAATGGTCCTTTGCTGCTGCCAGCAAGGAAGCATAGCATAGCAACAAGAAGACTTAATACAACCTGTAACTAAACCCAACATAGGAAGACCAGCTGAACATATTAAAGGAGGGTGTAAGGTTTGAGAATTATAAAACCACAAACCCCAAGGGAGCAACTCATTATTATACAGAAGAAATAAGAGCAAAAATAATGCTGAATAAATAATATTCCAATGGGAAACACTTAATAGTACCATAGTAGCAGTAAAAGTAAAATGCAAAAGGACTGAACACATAATCCGGTAATGCAAGAGAGGGTAAACTAAATAGAGACGTTGCATTAGCTTAAAGAAAATGAAATTACAAAAGAAAGGATCAGCATGATAATTAGCAAGATAGTGTAGGCTGAACCTTAATAGGAAATAGATAATGAAAAGAAAATAAACATTACATACGAAATTAGTAAAATAAAGAGCTAGTAGCTGGAATCTCATACCCAAAAAGCAGCACACATAGCCTAGAGACTTAATCATAATTCATAACAGAAGTAGGGGAACCCACATCCCCATCATCACGTTTCCTCCTTTTAGAATTTTCAGACTTGTTAGTGTCACAGGAAGGAGAAGCAGTCATGTCAGCATCGAAATTTATCTCGGGGATATGGTGGATAACCCCTAAAGCATTGAAGAAAGCCTCGTCTAGATCATCCTCATCATCAACAAAAGACTCTTTTTCTGGAACAGGAGGATTAAGAGTGATTTTTTCTCCTGTTGAAACTTGAAACTCACCCAAAGAAGCAAAAGCATTACTGATGGGAACAGTAGCTACCTCTCCATGATTTGAAGAAGAAGAAGGGGACTGATTGAAGTTGGTAGGGTTAGGATTAGGAGAGTAGACAGTGTTGTTGAACCTAGAGAAATGGCTAGTAAAAGCACCTCTCCCACTTTTCCCACCCCTGCTGAAAAATCTAGGTCTAGCACGACGTTGTGGCTTGACATGTATCCAGTCAGAGTGAGGTAGAGGGGCTTGTTCACCCTGGTGGTCCAGATTGCTAGCCTCAAGCTGAGCCACTATGAGTTCAAGAGAAGGAGTAGGCTTTTTAGGACAAGCCTTCAAGGTGTGGTCTTTATTTCCACACAGGGGGCAGACTTCATGAACACCCTCATAAGAAAGATAAAAATTTTTGTTTCGCTCACCGATATGCATAGAGAGAGTACAAGGGACAGGTTTAGAAATATCTATATTAAGACAGACCCTAGCAAACTGAGCTTTATCATCATTTCTTAGAGTATACTTATCAAGCTTAATTAGAGTACCTATGCTAGAAGTCAGAGAAACACAATGATCCCAAGTCCAATACTCAGTGGGAAGAAAAGGGATTTTAACCCACTGATCAACATGAGTAATCTTATTATCGAATGCGAAAAAGTTTGGCTCCCAAGGAATGAGTACCAAATTAAGCCCCTGAACAAACCAAGGTCTGTGGGACCAAACTTCATCTCTATCAATAGGGTTGGTGAATTTGATGATGTACCAACTATTGGCTAGGTATCTAATAGAGACTTCCCCATGAATGAAATTCCACTCTTTAACCAACCTAGAGGTGACAGCAGCATAAGGCACAAACTCTCCCCAAATTTTAGCATAAAAGATTTTTGATTTATGATCGGCTATGGTAGCTTCAGAAAGTGTAGGTGCATTGACAGTTATACTGGAGTGAACTGAATTTGAAATTGGCGGTGAAGGAGGACATGCACCATCTGAAGAAGGGGGAGGGGTAGGAATACTAGGACTGTGACCTCCCAGAGAGTTGAGGGTGTCACTGGATGGGTGGGATTGACTGGTTTCACAATTAAGGCTATCCATACTATTAATTCCACATTCAACAAGTTGAGATTTGGAAGGGCAAATGGCAGGAGAAGGATGTCGTGTTGTAAGAATAGAGGCATAACTAGGAGGAGGGGGAACGTCTGACATGAAATCTATACTATAAGTAGTAGGAAGATGAAAATGTAGAAGAAATAAAGCACAACAGAAACAATAAGCAAAGAGGATGAAAGAAACACTAAAGAGAGATGCTACAACTAAACACAAGCAAGGATATAAATAGACAGGAAAAACCGTTCCCAAAGAAAAACCACCAGAGAATTGAAGGGACAGTAGCAAACCATGATAAAAATAATAATAAAAAACAGAACGAAGATCACACAAATTTTTCGAAAAAGAGAGAAGAACAGAAACAAAAAATGGGAAGAGCAAAGGTTCGATTAAAAAATTCAGAAAATATAGAAAAAAAGGCAAGTAATTTAAACATGCAAGCAAAGCTACATAATTAAGTAAAAGAAGGTAGAGAGACTTCCCTGAGATCCAATTTTTTTTATTCTTGAAAGTATCGCTTGAGATTGCTTGTTGTATATTTGCGAATTTCCCCAGAAAAATAATCATCACATCTACTCCATAGACGGAGACGAGTAGCGTATTACCCAAGATCTGCAAGATCTCGATGCTTAGAGGCCTTTTGGGTTCACCGATCTTGTAATTAAAAAGCTTAATAGGGTAATTTATCTCATAAAGTAGATAATCTTTTGGAACAAGGATATAGGAGATCCATAGTTGACCAATTGAAGGGCTAATAGGATAATAATTGCTTGTGCTAATTAGGAAAAGCAGGGGGGAAGATCGAGCAAAAGTATGAGCCTTTGGGAAGCAAAACGGCAGCGGTAGGGGATTTTCATTTTCGTGGTGTTTCTGGGGTTTTCTTTTGGGTGGGGTTGGGTTTTTCTTTCTCTTTCTCTCTCTAGATTTCTTTTTGCATCTCATGTTTCATAATTCTATGTTTTTAATCCAAACTATATTGACTTGATCGACATATGAAACTCAACTACATGGTACTCAATAGTATAAAAGCACGTATGCACGATGACATATATAATTTTTGTAGTATAAAGGCGCAATGTCAAAATAATAAAACTATACTAATTAGGTGTGCCCATATACATATTTTGACATTCGACCCGATATCCAAATTCCATTACGAGTATAACAATTGAATTTTATGTCCGTGCTTTATTATACGGAGTACATTATACACGTCAAGGTAGAAATGTCCAAACCCCGCGATAAATCAAACGATATTTGGTCAGATCCGATTTAAACAGACGCCAAGAACGAACTTGACCATTGGCGTCTTCGTCCGTTTGAAACTTTCGGACTCTTCTTCTCAACCCAGAATACATTCAACCATCTTTCTTCAATCATCATTTTTTCCAGAAATTAGAGAGAAACAGAGAAATCGATGAGAGAGATTGAGATGGGTTCGAATTCAGAGAAGAACAATTTGTTACCGGTTTCTGATCTTCCCAGAAACGACGATAAACTCTTTCGAGGTTCCGCCATGACTAAACGTGGAGCTTATGCTGCCATTTGTTACATGGCTTGTGCTGGTATTTTACCACTTTCTCTCTCTTATGGTCAATTGTTGTGATTTCTTCTGATTGTTGCTGATTTCTATGGGATGTGATTGTAATTCCAAATGATGAATTGAATTGAATTTTGCTGATGAATTGATTTGGATTGAATTTTTTGAGGATTTTTTGTGTGATTGAGATGATTTGGATTAGTTATTGTTTTAGGTTGGATTTTGTATTCAATTGATTGTTAATCGAATTCGACTTTGATTGATTGTGCTAAATCTATACTAGGTTTTGAAATTGGAACTTTAAGAAAATTAGGATATTGGCTGTTGTAGGCTTACGGCAAGCAATTCTGGGATGCTCAGGAATAGTTACAGATTTGATATTAGCCTGGAATTCTGGAAGCTCTATATTCTAGAGTTAGTTTTTGTAGATGATCATTTCTGCCTAAATTCTCTCCCTAATAAACCGGCGATGGATGTAACGGAGTTTGATGAAAGATGGAGTTTTGGCGTGGTTGTTTGAGAGATGAAATACATTGATTCAAACATTTGAGCTAAACTTATTGGGTCTTTGTTATGGCTAAGGGTATTGAATTATAAATCCCTTCCATTTTAATAAATGTCACCAGTTTAAATAGCTTAGAAGTTTAGGAAAGCTTTTGATGAAGCATTTTTGGAAGTAAGCATTCACTAAACCGGATGCCTCATTCATAGGTTGGCTGGTTGGGGAAGGACCACATGGCTGAATGTTGCCTCATATGTGAAAGTTGTGTACATTGCCTTAGGAAAAATATAACCATTTTTGAAAGTATTAATCATTTAGCCCCTAATGAAGAAGAAAACTTCGAAGACGTATCATCTATTTTTAATGCATTTATGATATATACATGCATGAATAATATAGAGGAATTTTTTCATTATAGTACTAAAATTTTCTCTTCTTGGTTCTGCTCTTTTCTCTTTATGAAAACCTGCTCCTGCGATTATTAACTGAGGCAGGTCTAGGGGGGAGGGGGTGTTTGGGAACAATTGCAAGGAGGTTGTTTATATGTGGGCTAATGTTATGAAATAGAAAGAAATTGAGCTGGTATTTCCTTTTTGCAGTGCTCTTGATATTGTTCAATAAGGCTGCATTGTCTTCATATAGCTTCCCAAGTGCAAATGTTATCACCCTTTTTCAGGTAAGCTGCTGCTAAAATTGTTGGTATATTCATATTTATTTATTTTCTTATAAATTGTGATGGGAGTTGTGAAGTTACTGCTTTATGCAACATAATATTGACAATTTGACATGACCTTTTGCCTTATAATATGAAAGGCTTCTTGATATTTTTGAAGGAAGAGACACATTTGAAATGAGTAATTCCATGCTATATTTTTAGTTAAAAAAAGCTAGATGGAGAGACATTTGAAAAGAGTAATTCCTTGATATTTTTATCATTTAATGAATATCTCCTTTTTTTTTTTTTGTTAGTAATCAACTCTTTGTGTGATGAGGATCTTAGTAAGCTTTCTTTTATATTTTACCGGCTTATTAGTTATGGCTAGGATTATACACTGTAAGGGAGAGTGCTGAAGGCTCCTTTTTCGCACGTCAATGACCCCCAATTTCAACATACTCTTGACTCTCTGTTTTCAATTGTGTTTTTCTGGAGTGTGTGTTGGCGCTTTGGTGGGTTGGGAGGGTTGGGTTAGAGCCTTAGTGGTACCTGATTTGAAGCAAGTCAGGGGGCCTGAAAAATTATGGTATTTATTTATTTTTTAACACGTACAGAGTAGAAAGCATCTATAGTGGCTATGTTGGCTACTTCATTATCAATCTTCTTTTATTCTTAAGTGGTGTGTCAAATATATTTGCTTATCCTAATACTGATTTAGTTATTCAATTATGGATGGATACATCAAGTCTTGGTTAAAAGACAGCCCACCTATGCTTAGTCAAAACTGATAATAATTACATTGCAGTCAATGTCTTGTGTGTATTTTGCTTATTCTGGATGGTAATGGTGGATCCTTAGGAATTTTTTCCTGATTGCAAATTATCTGTTAGTCAAGCTGTTCTATGATGGAATGTTTCTTCATACATGCAGATCTATGAGGATTTCTTTTTTATTTTTTTGAAAAAACACATACCTGAGAACACAATTTGATAATGTGATTTGTCTATGCCTGCAGATGGTATCTTCATCTACATTTCTCTATGTGATGAAACGCTTGAAGCTCATTTCTTTCACTGTTGCAGAATCGACTGCTCTTGATAACCCTGTAACTCTTGTTCCTTTGAAAACACTGCTGCACACTCTACCTCTTGCATTTACCTATTTGATGTACATGGTATGCTTTGATGATAACTATGTGTTTTGGAATGCCTTTTTTTTTTTTTTTTTTTTTTTTTTTTTTTTTTCTTTTGCTTCTAATTATAACAATTTCTGTTTTCTTTTTGTTTTTTTTCCATTTCCTTTGAAGTTAGTTACCATGGAGTCTGTGCGTGGTGTAAATGTTCCTATGTATACTACTCTGAGGAGGACTACTGTGGTCTTTACAATGGTTATGGAGTATGTTCTGGTCCGACAAAAGTATACTTCCTCTATTGTTGGAAGGTAAATTTTTTATTTTATTTTTGCTACTGCCCACCAGTGGTGTGGATGCATATTATTTATAGGTGTTCATCTGGAATACATGAACCTTTATATTATATATTGCTTGATTGATCATCACAAGGAGATGATTATGTCTATGATCTCATAAACAGGTAAAATTGGAAAAAGATATGACAAACTCTTATTGTATAATCTCTTATTGTATCTGCTTTTGAATTTAGATCAAATTCTGGGAGTCTTTTTCAAGTTACACAATTCACATCACATCGGTGTTTGTTCATAAAGGACTCCTTACAGCAGATTAGATTTTATTGTCTATTTTCCTTCAGCTATACTGAAAAAAACTTTTTTAGAATATTTGGTTATTAAAGAAGCTGTATGGAGTGTGGGATTGTAGTATCTAGAGTTCTATGGAGATAATGGATTTATGGTTTCCATCTCTTTCTTTGAAGTGCTTTGTAGTCACTATTATTTTTTTGTCTTGCTGGTTCAGTGTAGGGTTGATTGTTCTTGGTGCATTCATTGCTGGTGCTCGAGATCTGTCATTTGATGCTTATGGCTATGCCGTTGTATTTCTGGCCAATATTACTACGGCTATATACCTTGCAACTATTGCTCGAATTGGTGATACATCATTATTTTTATTTCATTTTCCCTGAGTAATCTAATATATTATGGTCTGTTGATGCTTATATAACCTTTTTTTTTTCTCAGGAAAATCCAGTGGCCTCAATAGTTTTGGACTTATGTGGTGTAATGGTGAGATTGCAGATCTTGTATAAAATAATGTACTTACAACTCACAGCCTTGCTACACGATGTATCAGTTCTATGCTCTTAAACCTTTTTTTTTGTGTGAATTTCAGGTATTCTTTGTGGACCAATATTGCTATTTTGGACTTATGTGAGAGGTGATCTGGATATTACCTTCAACTTCCCTTACTTGTTCTCTCCTGGTTTTCTGGTACATCATAATCCCTTGATTCTTCTGTTGCTCAACTTGCATGCTTATTGTTGAAGCCTAGCATGTTTCATTCTGCTAAAGGCTTCGCTTTGTATTATATGCATGTTTTTATCATCCTGCATGGCAAGAATATCTAAAATGCTTTCCTGATCATTGACTTCTTATAATGAATCTTATGTCCCCCTATCTCACTTCCTCTTCTTGCAGGTTGTTTTGTCCTTTTCTTGTGTGCTGGCTTTCTTCCTCAACTACAGTATATTTCTCAACACCACTCTCAATTCAGCACTAACACAGACAATTTGTGGTAACTTGAAGGTATATACAGTTGCCTTTTGTTGCTTTTGATATTTCGCCGGGTTCCTCCAGTTTATTTAAACATAAAAGAAAACTAGACTAAGTTGATGGATCCATGCACACTTGAATCAAGTCCCACAACTACTGACAAGACGATAGTGACTCTGAAATAGCCTTGCACAAACTCTCTTTATCTGTAAATTAATTTTCTGTGGTGATTGGGTGGGTTGGGGTGTTGCAGCTACAGAGGTGAGCTCATCCTCTTGGTGGTGAGGTAAATAGGTAGATAAAAGGGAATGATAATAAAAATATGTGACTTAAACATGCATACAGAGAACAAAGGCCTTAACTCTATTCCTTTTCTACTGTCTTATAATCAATCAACTTTGTTGCTTTATAATTAATCACCTTTGTTGTTTCAAATTATGTAATGTATTTAAAAAGTACTAGTATCTGATTTCAATATTGTTATTTTATAGGATCTTTTCACCATTGGACTTGGTTGGATAATATTTGGTGGATTACCTTTTGATTTGGTGAGTAAAATAGAATTTCTGTTTCGGTTTAAGATCTTTATATGAGAATATTGTCTTGAGTAAATTGGTAATGACGTTGTGCATTATGCTTGCAGCTAAATGTTATAGGACAGGTTCTGGGTTTTCTGGGATCTGGTTTGTATGCCTACTTTAAGCTGATTGGCAAGTAGCCTTTAGGGCCATTGCTTATTACAACGGATGACTATTCTTTTACTGCTGAGTGCTGGCTGTGGTTGCTGTCGCTGGTTTAAATATGCAGTCGCTTGAATTCCAATAGGAAATACATTTGATAACATGAACCTAGAAAAGCTTGACAAGCAGCTAGGGTTTGTCAATGACAGTAGGACTGATTCTGTTTGAGCAACAATTGTCTTCCCTAATTACGGTCAATTATTAGGAGTATATCAGAAGGAAATTGAACTCATGAGCACTGATCTGCGGCTACATCAATTATTTTATCAAATTGGTGATTTCTAGGTTTAGTTATTTTTACTCTTTTAATCTTTTTTTTTTCCTCTTCCTTGGGCAAAGTTTTTGGTAAATATTGTAATTCTTTTGCCCATGTATTTCCTGTACTCTTTGTGATAAACTGCTAAAGGCTTGAGTTGAGATTTGCCTAATTGGGCTACTCCTTCAGATATTGTTTTTGGTATTATTTCTTTGAATCCGATCTACTTATACAAAATTCTCTAATGGAAGTAGTTTTGAATTGTTAGGGTATGAGCATGCAGCGGAAATGTAAAATAGAACGAGAAATTAAAGGTAAAATGTAAGATAAACAATAAAAGGAGACACGATATTTAACGTGGGAAAAACTCTCTAAATAGAGATAAAAAAACCCACGACGACGAGCACCAAAAAATTCCACTATAATAAAATGAGAGTACAAAGTTACCCTAATAATAGGGTATTGAGATACAACTCTTACAATTAAAACTCTCAAAATAAAAGAAAAGAAAATAGTGGAATAAATTACAAGGAGAAGATTAACTAGGGAGACTAGTGTAAATGGATGAGTAATTTTGTGAGTGGGTAAATTTGTATGGAGGTTGAATGTATATTGGTTGGATGCTTCAATATGAGCCAAACTCCAACTATTTATAGTTGGTTAGGTTGGTGGAAATGGATGCCTCAAGATGTATGAAAAATTCTCTAGATTTGCTTGCATGATAATATTGCTTCTAGAGAGTTGACCATTTTTCTAGAATAATCAACATAATTGTAGAATATTTGACATACTCTAGAAGCAAGAAGAATTGTATTGGGCTTCTTTAAAACTTGGTCCATATGAAATTTTGGGCCACATCTAACATGAATGAAGGGGAACAAGTTAACTAAATTAACACGTCACACTAACTAACTCAACAACAATACTAACTGACTCAACTGCCTAACTAACTAATTGAACTACTCAACAGCAATACTTAACTGTAGATGTTTGTACCCAGAAAAACATAACTTGTCAAGAAAAAAGATCTCGTTCATGCTCCTCCAAATCTAACTTTTATCTAGCTTTGTTTCAAAAATGTAGTGACTTCTTATTACTTGTTTGAGTCTCTATTCCATCTTAATATATATTATACTTGTTGCCGAAACATAAAACAGGGTATTCAAATGACCAAACCCAGATTTTCCAATTGATGAATTACCCAAATTACTCAATAACTTTTGGGCAAAATCATAAACGTAAATTATAATTCAACACTAACATTATTACGTACAATAAAATGCTTAATGAATCGATTTAGAAAAATACACAGACTACGCAAGAAAATTGGAAGAAATTGATTGATGCAGTACTGCAGTAACAATAAAGCCATAATTGAAACATAACGAAATCTAAAATCTAAATTATTTCATTAATTGTGAATCCAACATTTAACTACTACATGAGTCTTAATATATACTGAAATTTAACACTCCTAAACTTGTAACAAAGATGATCAAATATACTAATTGGACTGTAACTGTCACACTAATCAACTAACTCAATTGTAAAATTTCAACTGTCATACTAACTAACTACCTCAACAAAGGACAGAGCTAGTTCAGCCTTGTCGTCTTCTTGACCGCCATTTTCTTGGCCTTTTTTATCATTGAATGTTCAGAACCTCCATCAAGTTGTATCTCCTTCCTCTTGTCCTTCTCCCCCAAGTCCACGACTTTCTTAGCCTTTGATTCTCCATCAATCTTCTTGGCCTTGTTCATCACTGACTGATCAGAACCGAGCTCTATCTCCTTCCTCTTGTTCTTTGCCCCGAGTCCTCGACTTTCTTGCCCTTCTCCTTCTCCTCCGCTGCCATGTTCTTGGCCTTCAATTCTCCAGCATTCTTCTTGGCCTTTTTCATCACTGATTGATCAGAACCTCCACCGAGTAGTATCTCCTTCCTCTTGTTCATCACCCCCGAGTCCACGACTTTCTTGCCCTTCGATTCTCCAACAATCTTCTTGGCCTTGTTCATCACTAATTGACTAGAAACTCCACCGAGTTGTATCTCCTTCCTCTTGTTCATGGCCCCCACTTTCTTGCTTTTCGATTCTCCAACAATCTTCTTGGTCTTGTTCACAACTGATTGACCAGAACCTCCACCGAGTTGTATCTCCTTCCTCTTGATCATTGCCCCCGAGTCCACGACTTTCTTGCCCTTCGATTCTACAACAATCTTCTTGGCCTTGTTCATCACTGACTGATCAGAACCGAGCTCTATCTCCTTCCTCTTGTTTTTTCCCCCATGTCTCCTTTCGGAAACATCAATAAACATCCAACGACCACGGGCGCGACTCCGTGACCGTAATTAGTATGAGATCTCACCTAACTCGTAGTTTTGAAAAATATTTGAAATAAGAGACTCGTAGATCAGACGACCTCGAGAAAAGTACACGGCTAATACCCCATGTACCCCAATCCCTGATTGTCATTACTCCAAAAGTGCACCAATCCAGAGTTTTATTGCTCATCCATCTTGCACTTTACGTGATTTACAGGTTTAGACTTGGTGATGACTCATATGCGTAACAATACAATCAATCCAATATCAATGCAATCAAGTAAAACAACTTTTCAATTTCAATTCTTGATTTATTAGTGGCAAGAAACATTTATTATTTATTCCTTTACTACCTCGGTGTATAAACACCTTGAGTGCATAAGGCACCCCAAAACCTTAACCTCGTCTTAGAAGACTTAAATTCTTCCTTTACTCATCCTACTTGCATAATCATGAATGAGTAATAAATTAATCATTACACCAATCATATACCTTTGCCTCTAAGCGCACCTTGCATAATTAGAGCACAAATAATACTTGCAATATAAAATAGTGCACGTCATACGAAATTCACAATGTATAACCAAACAATTTAACTCAGTCATCCCTATACATGATACTAAGTTCTCGATCCGTCGTCCTTAAACATGCACCTAAAAGAAAGGTTTCGTAACTTGTACGTACCTTGAGCAAACGAATTGGTATGCCACTTTACTAACTAGAAATCACCTTCAATAAACTCCTCTCCTAAGCCAAATAATAACATCTCAATCAATACCCAATCAATCAAATTTACAACAATACTAACTTACTTTAAAACCTTCAAAATCCAAATCAAACAACACTTTAAAACCTTCCCTTTAGTTAAAATTAAAGGCTTATATATAGTTCTTTAAATTTTCTTCATAAAAACCTTAAAATACACTTTTATACATGAAATTACAGCAAGTTCAAAGTTTAATAAAAATCTGAAAATTATATAAAACCCCCTAAAAATCTCCCTTTTTAATGGGTGATTAAACCCTCTTTATAAAACATCAAAAGTAGTACTTAGAAACTATTTCCAACACTTAAAACTTCAATAAAAACATATATTTATGCTTAATTAACTTTAAACATAATTAATGTTATTAATCAAACTCAAGGATAATATAAATAAGTATAAAAAAAAAACTTCGTTAAAATCAAAAACTGCCCGAAAATCATATTTAGAGGCTGAATTTGGCCCGAAAAACACTACTTTTTCATCAAAATCAGATGATTTCAGAACTTGATCGGGATTAAAACGGGATTAATATTAACGAACGAAAATCTAAAAATTAAAACACGAATCTATGTGTTCAAAATAATCTGGAATTAAGTTAAACTAATCAGTAGTTATAATCACCAAAATTTGAAAACATCATTACTATAAAAGCCCTAAATCAATTGTTCATAAAAACCCTAAAATCATGATTTTCAATAAATTGAAACCCTAGGTTTATAATTCATAAAATATGAAATTTATTACATAAATATAAACTGAAATTTATAATCTTTATACCATTAAAATATAATTTGATACTGAAAATATAATCTTTATACTGAAATCAAAACCCAAAACAATTAAATTAACATTAAGCAAAATAATGAAACAAAGGAGGATGAAAATAAGACTAACCTTTTTGTGTGGGAAATTTTTGGAGATTCATGGGGTATTTATAGGAGAGAATTATTGTAGGGTAAAAAGAAAGATTGGGCCTCATAAAAATAATGGGTCGATTAAGTAAACAAATGGGTTAGGCTTGTGTGATTGGACATAAATTGTAGAATAAAGGTGCATAAAATAATTTGTTCAAATAATTTTCGACCCAGATTAATAATTTGAAACTTTTGAAATTAAATTATGAAAAATAACAAATAAATATTATAAATAAAATAAATTTTCATTTATAAAATATTTAAAAATACGGGGGATTACAATCTACCCCTCTTACAAAACCATTCAAACTTCTGTGTTTTATATTGCTGCAAATTGATTGATTCTCAACATGCACACTCAACAAACTGAACTTTATGCTTAATAGACTTGTACTTGGCCAAAGTTTACATACTTTAAATGCATGTAAATACAACAATAGTGCATATTAATAATCAAATAATGCAAACTCAAGCAATAAATAGCATAATTGAGGTAAAAAGCGCGAAATTACATCGCATTCTACCCCTCTTAAAGAAAAGAGTTACGCCCCCGTAACTCACCTCAATAACATCATTAGGCATTTCTTTTTCATTTCTTCTTTCTGCAATAATTTATCCATAACTTGTTATTCTATAATTTCCTCAAATTTGAATAGTTCAATTCATAGGCACTCAATAATCCCTTTAGCTCTCCTTAGCTAACAACCGAAGGCTATTAAGATCTGTAAAAATCTTACAGGTGACACTGTATTTCGAATGAATCTCCAATGTAAACAATATATACGCAATCTCAAGATCATGGTAGGGTAATTGGTCTCATAAGATTTGTCTTGGCAAGAAGCATTATCATTTTTCCATTTTGTTGCAAGACACATCCATTAAGTAAAAACTTCAAGTCCACCACTCCCATTAGACAAGACTAAAACAAGTGCAACGATTAAATGTTCTTTAAGAGTTAAAAGGCTTGTTTACACTTCTCATCCCATTCAAACTAACTCTCTTTCATCAAGGTATATACAACAATCTTCAAAAGTCCTTCACAACCCTCTTTAAACATCTAATCCCAATAAACTCCTTATATCGGTCACATTGTTAGGTGTAGACCACTTACTCACCACTTGAATTTTTTTGTCCCAAAATGAAACTTACTCTCATTAATAAAAATTCACACTTCGAAAACTGAGTATATTATAAGTCGTCCCTAAAATGTCACAGAATCCTCAAATGTCTATTATAATTCTCCTCACTCTTCAAGTATAGCAAGATATCATTAATAAAGCCATATATTTATCGAATTACTGTACTCATGGAAATACTCGATTCACTAAATCCATAATGATTGTTAATACATTAATTAATCCAAAAGGCCTGATTTATATTTCCATGTTTATGAATCCATGGGCTCCTCAAAATTTTCTTCTCTCCAACTTGGTTTTTCAAATTCTCCCAACGAAAGTCAATTGTCTCACGAATCGTATCCCTATTCTCTTTCCACCAAAGTTATGCTCCTCAAATTCTCATGGCAATTCAAAACAAACTCATCTTTCACTACCTATTTCTACAGAAAAGCAGGGTCTCCACTCTCCTTAAAGTATGCGGCTTGACCAAAGCAAAACTCATCTTTTTTTTTTTTTTTAAATTCTTTGGACTAATTCCCCATACTCATTTAAAAAAACTTATCAAACGATATTGCAATTGAACATCCATACTTTGTTTACGTAATATCTAAATTTCTCTCCAAAAAGTAGTAACTTGTTCGAGTCTCTCATAGTGTTAACACAAACTTTTAAAAAAATCGGGTGAACAATAATTATTGTACATCCATTATAAAGATAACCTAAAGTGATTAAAAGTTACCCTGCGTTAAAGTAACCCAATTCAAAAATCAATTATCAGTGATTGAATGTAATTAAGTTACTTTTATAAAACTTTTCTTATATATTTATATAAAAACTAGATGAATCCCGTGCGATGCACGGTTTGTTTGATTTTTTTTAAATAATGTTTTTTTTTGTATTTATGAGCCTAAAATTTGTTTTATATTTATATAAAATTCCTAATATTAAAAGATAATATATAATATTTAATTAATTTAAACTTAAAAATCTCATTCGCCAATTTTTCTTACATGACATTTAAATTATTTAAATCTAAAATAAATTAATAATCTCTTATTTAATTGGCTACTACTAAGATTTATAATCCTACATGTCGCGCTGAGAAAATTAGATCCTACGTGGCTCTCTAAAAACTCGGGAAAAAACTCCCATATATATATATATATTAGATTATATTATGTTTAAAGTTACCAAAAAAAAACAAAAAGTTACCCTAAAATTAACTAAAAGTTACCCTTATATTGCTCGATGTACACTAATATTAGTGTAAACCGCATGTATACAAAAGTTTTTGTAGTTTTAATCGAAAAGGTACATTTTGACAATTAAGTATGTACTATACTACTATTTTCTCCATTCCATCTTAGTAGACTAGTAGAAGTTACTTGAACATTATATTATGTTATTTTAATAGTTTCTTGAACATAAATTCCTTAGCTCGCTTGTAAACTAACGGGATATTGTTATCAAATAATCAAACCACTTTCTCCAATTTTAATCCTACCAAAATTAGTCAAGAAATTTAAATAATCTTTTGGGCAAAATTAGCAAGATCGCTCAAGAAACTTAAAAACTCTAATCAAGCAATATGATTTAATAATATATAGAGGAAAGAAAGAACAAAATAGAAAGGCTAAGAGATAGAGAATATCACGCATAATACGTTGAAAAAATTGAGCTTCATGAAATCACTAAAAGATGATGAATCTACGAATGAAATATCTTATTAGTTGTTTTTATCACTACATATATATGCATAACAGATGATTAGTAAGTTAGTCCTCTACCGTAACACAATTTCGTACACTTTAACTCGTGTAGGATGATCTTCGCATCCAAATTGCAATCTTGTAACCAGGTTTTAGGCAATCACATATCTTGGGTTGAGTTTAAGCGATTTGGGATTGATAGCAGCAAATTGCTCGTACTAAAAAATTTCCTTGTGGAATTCAGTCACATATATATTAACTACTATTATTCTTGCACGTGTTTGTTTCACACTCATGATTCCAAATAAACAACCAAAAAATCCTTTTTTTTTTTTGAATTTTATTTAAATATATCCTTCAAAACGGATCACGTTATCCTTTAAAAATTAATACTGAACACGTAGGGTTCGTTTGGGATCGCTGTGATTTTCTATTTTTTGTTTTTTAAAAGTATATTATATATGTCAAATAATGAATAAAAAATTATTTAAGCTTATTAAAACCATAATAATTTTGAAAACCAACAACAGAAAAGTATAAACACCTTTTTCTTGTTTCTTGTTTTTAGTCCTCCCCATAAAGTGAATTCCTAAATCCTAATGTAAGTTTTATACTTGATTTGCAAATTGTAACATATATCATGAATAGTATGTTATGCTCCTTACATATTATACTAATTCTTGATTTTATTGTTGGTATAATTGCTTTTACTTTTATGATATGACGCCCATGAAGTTGTTTAGGATTAGTTTCCTAATTGTTGTAGGTTTGCTTTGTTATGAAATAGGAACAAACTTTATCTTGCCGCCATATAACCCTAAATTTATTATCTTGTCCAAAAAAAAAAAAAAAAAAAGTCTAAATTTATCTTTGTATATGTATTTCCTTTTATATCTTAGGTAATTAGAGTACAACTAGAATTAGGATTTAATACTTTTTATTTATAAATACACGTTGTGTGAATAAGGAGAAGATTGAGAGCTTGAGATTAATCCGACAATGGTTAATTGGAGTGATTTACCCGTTGATGTCCTTAGAGAAATAGTGTTGAAACTAGATTCTGCCCAAGACTTAGTCTTTTTCTCGGCTGTATGTGGACCATGGAAGTATGCATATTCTACGGCCAAAAATAATTGGACTAGGACGATGCCATGGTTGATGGTACCCGAAAACGCACAAAATAGCCCTAATTACCCTAGGATATTATACTGTCCTAATAAACAAAGGTGTTACCAATTACATCTCCCTCAAACTTATGGTGCTAGATGTTGGGGTTCGTCGTGTGGTTGGATTGTCGTACTCGATCATAACCTAGAGATGTACATGTTGAACCCGATAACTAAGTCTCGTATTAGCCTACCCCCTCTTTCAAGCATGCCCAACGTATGTGTTGAAGATGAAGACGGCCCTGAGTTCTTACAATTATGTATCATACAAAAGGCGGTCGTAATTGAAGCTGACGGTGAATACATTGTCATAACAACACCTGGTATCTTTTATCACAGCGTACATTATGCAAGGCCTGGTGACCAAGAAAAATTAGGGTAAGATGTGCTTTGTTCTGTCGCCTTAAATGTATCCTTCCTTAAGTCGAGCAATACAAGCAGCGTTATCCTCATATAAAGTTGTTGGTGCCTCTTTCCCAGATGATAAACCACAAACTTCTTTTATATGTTGAACTACCGACCTTAACCATACACATTCACGACTAGCCTCGTGAATTGCTAAAATCTTAGAATGATTGGAAGAAGTAGCTGCAATGGTTTGTTTCATGGAACGCCAAGAAATGGCAGTACCACCATATGTGAACACATATCCAGTTTGTGACCGACCATTATGAGGATCAGATGAATAACCTGCATCTGTAAAACCAATCAAATTTTCTTTGGACAACTTTGGGAAAAATAAACCCATATCCTTCGTACCTTGAAGGTAACGAAGTAAATGTTTAATCCCATTCCAATGCCTTCGGGTTGGACATGAACTAAACCTTGCTAATAAATTAACTGAAAATGATATATCAGGCCGTGTATGACTTGCAAGGTAAATTAGTGCTCCAATTGCACTAAGATACGGTACTTCAGGACCAAGAATTTTTTCATCATTTTCCCGAGGTCGGAATTGATCTTTCTCTACTTCAAGTGATCTTACAACTATAGGGCTGCTCAATGGATGTGTTGTATACAAAGAAAATCTTTTAAGAACCTTTTTTTTTAATGTATGTTGATTAATGCACAAGGATTCCATTCTTTAGGTGCTCTATTTGTAACCCCAAGCAGAATTTTGTCTTTCCTAGATCTTTCATTTCGAACTCTTTCTTTAAATAATTGACAGTCACTGAAATCTCTTCAGGAGTTCCAATGATATTCAAATCATCAACATACACTGCAATTATAACAAATCCTGATCCAAATTTCTTTATAAAAATACATGGGCTGATAGGATCATTCTTATTACCTTCTTTCAACAAATACTCACTTAGACGGTTATACCACATACGCCCAGATTGTTTCAATCCATAAAGAGATTTGTTCAATTTAATACAGAAATGTTCTCGAGAACTAGATTTTGCTGCTTCCGACAGCTTGAATCCTTCTGGGAGCTTCATGTAAATGTCATTATCCAGTGGGCCATATAAATAAGCTGTGACTACATCCATCAAACGTAAGTCAAGTCCTTCTCTTATTGTCAGACTAATCAAAAATCTAAAAGTAGTTGCATCCACCACAGGAGAATATGTCTCCTTATAATCAATACCAGGTCTTTGTGAGAATCCTTGTGCAACTAAGCGTGCCTTATATCTTACAACTTCACCCTTTTCATTTCTCTTTCGCACAAAGACCCATTTATATCCCACTGGCTTTACACCTTCAGGTGTACGGACTACTAGTCCGGATACTTCTCTTTTTCCAAGAGATTTTAATTCTGCTTCAATTGCTTCTTTCCATTTTGGCCAATCATTTCTTTGTCTACATTCTTCAATGGATTTTGGTTCATAATCCTCATTATTATCCATAACATCTAGATGCTACACTGCATGCAAAAACATCATCGACGTCGATTTGATTTCGGTTCCATGTAATTCCATACATGATATAATTTATTGAAATTTCTTCATTATCAGGTACCTGAATTTCTTCTTGTATCATGTCTAAAGTCTCTTCTGGAGATCCTTCGGAAATTGTTTCTTCAATTTGACCATCATCAATCAATGCCCCTTTTCTTTTCCGAGGATTCTTATCTTTGGAACCTATTGGTCTTCCACGTTTCTGGCATGGTTTAGACTCATGAGCAATTTTATTTTGTCCTTCCGGGAAATCTATTTTAAATGGAGCATTAAAAGCTGGAATATGTGACTTGGTCACTCTTTTTGGGTCAACAAACGAGTCTGGCAATTGATTCGCTAAACTTTGTAAATGAATTATCTTTTGAGCTTCCAGTTCACATTGTTTAGTTCGAGGATCAAGATAGGATAACGATAATTCATTCCATTTAATCATTTTCCAGCTCTCTCTTTTCTCCCCCTAATGTTGGGAAAAGTGACTCGTTAAAATGACAATTTGCAAAACGAGCCATAAATAAATCCCCTATTGTAGGCTCAAGATATTTAATTATTGACGGGGATTCAAACCCAACATATATCCCCAACCTCCTTTGAGGACCCATCTTAGTGCGTTGTGGTGGAGCTATTGGAACATAAACCGTACATCCAAAAATTCTTAGATGGGAAATATTTGGTTCCTGGCCATAAACCAATTGTAATGGGGAGAACTTGTGATAACTTGTTGGCCTAATGCGAATTAGTGCTGTTGCATGTAATATAGCATGTCCCCAAGCAAAAATTGCGAGATTAGATTTCATAAGCAATGGTCTAGCAATTAACTGAATACGTTTTATTAATGACTCTGCCAGACCGTTTTGTGTATGAACATGTGCTACAGGATGTTCAACATTTATCCCAATGGACATGCAATAATCATTAAAAGCTTGAGATGTAAATTCACCATCATTGTCAAGCCGAATAGTCTTAATGGGAGTATCTGGAAAATGTACCCGTAACTTAATTTGGGCAAGTAATCTCGCAAACGTCAGGTTACGAGTTGATAACAAAGACACATGTGACCATCTAGTTGATGCATCAATTAAAACCATAAAATATCTAAATGGTCCACATGGGGGATGTATGGGCCCACAAATATCTCCTTGTATACGTTCCAGAAAACTAATTGATTCAAAATTAATTTTTGCTAGTGATGGGCGAATAATCAACTTGCCTTCCGAGCAAGCAGCACATGAAAAATTATTATGAAGAACCTGCTGGCTCTTCAAAGAATGTCCACATGAATTCGTAATTATTTTTCGCATCATTAATGAACCGGGATGACCTAACCGGTCACGCCAAACAACAAAATCATCAGTAAACTTCTGGTTTACCATAGCATGAGCTTCAATAGCATTGATTTTTGTGTAGTACAAACCACTAGAGAAAGTAGGTAGTTTCTCCAAAACATGTTTTGAGCCTTGAGTTATATTTGTGATTTGAAGGAATTCGTTATTTTCTTCATTGATTGTCTCAATATGATAACCATTGTTGCGAATATCCTTAAAACTTAATAAATTTCTTTGAGACAATGGGGAGTATAAAGCATCAATTATTTTAATTTCAGTTCCCCAAGACAACTTTATAGTGGCTCTTCCGGAGCCCTCAATGATATTTGTACTACCCGATATGGTACTCACATTAGTTCTTTTCATCATCAAATGAGAGAAATATTTTTTTATTTTTAAGTATTGTATGAGTAGTTGCACTGTCAGCAAGACATAATTCTTCACCATTCATAGCAAATCGAACTTGAGTTATATCCATGTTCTTCATGAAATAAAATACATGTCAAAATATTAATTATAAAAATAAAGATGATAAAATACATAAATCAATAAAAACACTCAAATATTTCTTAAATTTATAAAGCAAAAATCCTTATTACAACGAAAGAAATAAACTTAAATAAATCACTAGAATAAGCAAACATAAGTCTAATACTTAAAACTGACATAAAACAATATAATTTTAATTATTCCCTTCTGAGGTAGTGAAGAAATCGGCAACTTCTAAATGAGTTGTACTGCCAAAATCAAAATTATTCCCTTCCGGGGAAGTAAGGAAATCACCAACATCAAATTGATTGGCATTGCCAAAATCAAAATCACCTTCACCATCTTCAAGAACAAGGTTTGCCTCAACTTTCTTTCCTTTCTTCAATGATTCTTGGTAAAGTTCAATAAGATGCTTTGGAGTTCTACAAACCCGAGACCAATGACCTTTTCCTCCACAACGGTAACATATATTGTTATCACTTTTCTCTTTTTCATCCCTTCATTCCCACTTCTGGTGGGAATGCGAGTTTGTGAAATGACCTCCACGACCTCTACCATATCCACGTCCACGACCCCGGCCGCGCCATTGGCCACGACCACGACCTTTACCTCGACCATTACTGCTGGAATGGTCTCTGTTTTTAGTTTCTTTCCCGTTATGGGTTGTCACATTCGCTTTAGGGAATGAAGTAGAGCCAGTAGGACGTGATTCATGATTTTTCATTAACAGCTCGTTATTTTGCTCAGCCACAAGAAGACAAGATATTAATTCAGAATATTTTTTAAAACCTTTTTCTCTATATTGTGTCTGCAGGACAATATTATTAGCATGGAAAGTAGAGTATGTCTTTTCAAGCATTTCTGCATCAGTAATATTTTCTCCACATAATTTCAATTGAGAAGTTATTTTAAACATAGCTGAGTTATATTCACTAACAGATTTAAAATCTTGCAATCTCAAATTCAACCATTCATAACGAGCTCTAGGGAGTATCACTGTTTTTTGGTGGTCATACCTTTCCTTTAGATTACTCCAAAGGATTTGTGGGTCTTTTACAGTTAAATATTCATTTTTGAGCCCTTCATGGAGGTGATGGCGAAGAAAAATCATGGCTTTAGCCTTATCTTGAGGTGTTGCCTTATTAACCTCTTTTATTGTTTCACCAAGCCCCATCTAGGTGTATTTCAGCATCTAACACCCATGATAAATAATTCTTTCCGGTAATATCAAGGGCCACAAATTCGAGCTTGGCAAGGTTCGACATTTTTCACTATACAAAATAATATTAAAAGATAAGTATATATAAATAGTATCCAAAATATGTACTAAACGTTATAATCATGCATAAATAAACCTGATACAAGTCATGCATAAATAAGAACGAAATAGAAGGGGAGAATGTTAGCATGGAGAAAAATAAAAATGAAACCTTAAATTATATATCATGTTCTGTATTCGTTATATATGTTGATATTCCAATCAAAAGTAGATAAATGTTAAATTATAATTGTTATGGGCTGCGATCATACTTACATGATAATAATAACATGGGATTCTAGATAAATGTTTGGTAATCCTACTCAGTTGACTAACAATGGTGCCGATAACGTGTTAAATATGGAAGAGAAAATAAAGAGAGATAAGGGAAGATTGTTACGTTGTATTTCATATTCCATCTAGTACGGGATATATATAATGTACATTACCTAGGGTTCCATCAATGGATAAGACCAAATACCCAACTCTAGAATATTCTAGATTGTACATGGGATAATAGTCATCCATAATTAGATATTATCATAACATAAATTTATCCATAATTAGATATTATAAATTCAAGATATGGCAGTATGCATATTCTACGGCCAAAAATAATTGGACTAGGACAATGCCATGGTTGATGGTATTCAGATACAAAATGGAGCTTTACGACGATCCTACTTGGGAGTATCAGACGATTAATTTTAAGGTATACAAGTTCAACTTTGAGACCAAAATTTGGGTGCAAGTCAATGACTTGGGTGATGTTGCAATGATCCTAGGGAGTAATACTTCGATGTCGATTCGTGCATCGCGTATTCATAACTGCAGAAGGAACTGTATTTATTTCAGCAATGATGAGTGGCTATTTCGGAATGGAATCCCTTATACCTTTGGAGGAACTGTATTCATACTTGCTTATTGCTGAAATTTATTGACATGTTATTCATACTTGTGTTAAAAAAAATATATTTTAAATTTAAGTAAGATCAAATTGTAACAAGATTTAATTCTCTCTTACAACCTAAAGCTCTTTAATTTATAGAGGCAAAATTAACTTTGAAATATTGTAAAAACAAAAGATTAACTAATCTCATAACGAAATCTATGAAAATAAAAGATAATTAACAATTAAATATTATCTATAATGACCATTGAAAAGATAAAATTTAAATAGCACTTCAATGGATCTTCCAGATATGCATCACTTTATTAATGGTGGGAACAACATTCATGTTGGCAGTCTAAGCTTTACCAATATAATTAGTGTAACATTTTCAATAAGGGTCCACGATTATCAGGTGAACGCATGTAATACACCTCTATTTTTTAATTTAATTTTTTTTATTTTAATTTTTTTATTATTTTTTTCGAGCTTAGTTAACATGTGTTGACTTTTACATTGTTTATATACAATGTTTTGATTGTCTTGAACTTGTGTACATGTTTTCATCCAATTCTTTCGTCAAAATTCATCATATTATTCATCAAACATGATATTTCTCAAATACTACAAATCATGAGATCTCGATTTCCCAATGAAGCAAAGTAATCATTTTCCAATTAAGAACAGAGAAAGACTATTGATGGATTTCGTTTAACTTGTTCACTTTGTATAATGATATGCACGGACTATGAATCAATTGAATCATATGGCAGTTTAGCAATATCAAATTTTGCTTCACGCAAAGCATTCAAATTACAATATAAATATATATATATATATATATATATATACTGAATGCAATTTAATATAAACTATAATAATATATATAACCTATAGATTTGCTCAAGAAATTTATCAAGATTACTGAATAAACTTTCATTATACAAGTACATCTATACTCTAACACTAATGTGACTATTTTATAGAAATGGTAGTTAATCGAACAACTTAAACAAAATTACCCAGATTTTCTTCCAATAAGAAATGATTGCGCTACTACAAAAGAATCTCTGATTTACATTTGAATCAAGAAACTAATAATTGTGAATTCAGAAAAACCAACTAAATCAATCTTAATACTTTTCTTAAAAAAAAAAAAAATAAACAAAAATCATTCTTAATACTGAAACAACCTTTTTTTATTCATAAATCTAATAAAAGAAGGTATTAAAATAACACTCCTAAACTAGTACTGTAACAAAGATGAAATGATCAAATTCTACCTTCAATCGTCATACTAAATTAACACGTCACACTAACTAACTCAACAACAATACTAACTGACTCAACTGCCTAACTAACTAACTGAACTAGTCAACAGCAATACTTAACTGTAGATGTTTGTACCCAGAAAAACAGAACTTGTCAAGAAAAAAGATCTCGTTCATGCTCCTCCAAATCAAACTTTTATCTAGCTTTGTTTCGAAAATGTAGTGACTTCTTATTACTTGTTTGAGTCTCTATTCCGTCTTAATATATATGATACTTGTTGCCGAAACATAAAACAGAGTATTCAAATGATCAAATGACCAAACCCAATTGATGAATTACCCAAATTACTCAATAATTTTTGGACAAAATCATCAAGATTATTCATAAACGTAAATTATAATTCAACACTAACACTATTTCGTACAATAAAATGCTTAATGAATCGATTTAGAAAAATACACAGACTACGCAAGAAAATTGGAAGAAATTGATTGATGCAGTACTGCAGTAACAATAAAGCCATAATTGAAACATAACGAAATCTAAAATCTAAATTATTTCATTAATTGTGAATCCAACATTTAACTACTACATGAGTCTTAATATATACTGAAATTTAACACTCCTAAACTTGTAACAAAGATGATCAAATATACTAATTGGACTGTAACTGTCACACTAATCAACTAACTCAATTGTAAAAATCAAATGTCATACTTACTATAAAATTCAACTGTCATACTAACTAACTGCCTCAACAAAGGATAGAGCTAGTTCAAGCTTGTCGCTTCTCGACCATCATTTTCTTGTCCTTCTTTATCATCGAATGTTCAGAACCTCCATCAAGTTGTATCTCCTTCCTCTTGTCCTTCGCCCCCGAGTCCACGACTTTCTTAGCCTTTGATTCTCCATCATTCTTCTTGGCCTTGTTCATCACTGACTGATCAGAACTGAGCTCTATCTCCTTCCTCTTGTTCTTTGCCCTCGAGTCCACGACTTTCTTGCTCTTCTCCTCCCCCTCCTCCGCTGCCAAATTCTTGGCCTTCAATTCTCCAGCATTCTTCTTGGCCTTTTTCATCACTGATTGATCAGAACCTCCACCGAGTAGTATCTCCTTCCTCTTGTTCATCGCCCCCAAGTCCACGACTTTCTTGCTTTTCGATTCTCCAACAATCTTCTTGGCCTTGTTCACAACTGATTGACCAGAACCTCCACCGATTTGTATCTCCTTCCTCTTGTTCATTGCTCCCGAGTGCACGGCTATCTTGCCCTTCGATTCTACAACAATCTTCTTGGCCTTGTTCATCACTGATTGACCAGAACCTCCACCGAGTTGTATCGCCTTCTTCTTCATCGCCCCCGAGTCCACGACTATCTTGGCCTTTTCCATCACTGATAGTCCAGAACTTTCACCAAGCTCTATCTCCTTCCTCTTGTTTTTCGCCTCCAGTCCACGACTTCCCTTCTTCATACATTCCAGTTTGCAAGACATTGAACAGTACAATACATTCTTTTCGATGTGAATCTTACACTTACAGTTCAAACACTCATCATACATTACTGACGTTTTCGATGAATGTAACACACGTCATATTTGTTACTATAGTGATGAACCTGGATTCCCGAGTCGTCGAAAACCAGTAACTTCTTCATCTCTGCGGTTTTGTAGCTAAAACCACCCCACTTTTTAATTTCATGTACTTGAATTACTTTATGTCCCTCTTCAATATGTTCATTAGCCAAGTTTTTGGTCAACCTATTTCCTCCACAAGTAAAGCAGAATTGCCTTTTTTTATCGCTAGACTTTCTCTCAAAAGTTACTATTTTGCTACTTTTACAATCTAATTAGTCTGATATTTTGCCACTTTTACACTTCAATTAGTGAAAATTTACACTTGAAAATCGTAAAAAGTTGAGAAATCATGAAAATATAAACACTGACTTACATGTTTTTTTTATCATGAATTCCTAATTTTATTCAATTTCCAAGAGTATATTTAATGTTTATATATAGCCCTTAGGGCTACATATAGCATTACCCTTTTTTTTATTACTTAAGATGAATTATATATAGATGAGAAAATATATAGATGAGAAAGTTTTACATGAGACCATTTTACGTGAGTTCGGTTTATAATGCACACACCCACCCCCCCACCCACTGCCACTACCTAGCCACTTGTTGGCGGCCGGCGACAATGGCCTTCCCCTCCAATTTCACCACCTTTGCCCCCGTCGTTACATTCCCTTTTCCGTCATCGACAAAACCCACAACAACCCAATTCAAACCTGAACAACCCATGCATCCCAATAATTTTTTTTTATTTTTTCATTACTAAACTATTAAAAATGATTATTATTCTTGATTGTCTATGATATTTAATTAGTCACAATTATGCACACTAATTAATTATGCTCCTAGTTAAATTTGTACATTTTATTGTGAAAATAATTATAATCCATAAAAGCTTCTCATTTTTCTTGATTAGTTTGCGCATAGTAAGCTATGTAACATTATTCTTGTATAATAATTTTTATTTATTTTGAAGTATTGATAGGAATAATCTCACATAGTAAGCTAAGTTACCTCTTTTCTCATTTTGCTCCATCTTTTCATTAATTCAATACAATCCGACCTTTAACACTTACTTATCTTGACATCATTTTGATCCATGACCTATTAGATCTAATGGTAACCCGTAGACCCGTAGTCTATATAGAACAAGTTAATTAGACACATGTCTCCACTAGACCATTACTACTCTTGACCACCACTATCACTAACCACCACCATTACCCCTGACCACCAAACCTCAAGATTCAAGAGCAGAGAAGGACAATTGATCGATAGCTTTGGTTCACTTTATATAATGATATGCAATTAATTAATAATCACAAGATTATTTGATAAACATATGGAGATTTTAATAATTACTTGAACAACGAAGATTTTAAAAAGTATGTTTCGTACTTCTAGTAATGTCCATAATTTTAGTAATTATTTTTTTTCATTTGCGTATAACTTCAAAATCCGAGCATCTGTCGGGTATTATTTTGTTTTCCTCTCACATCCCTTGTTTTTCAATAAAAATATAACTAAACTATTTTTTCTTTTAATTTTCTCATTCACTTTCATCTTTTTGTTGAGCCCATGAGAAAACCCACATGTGAGTGGTGTGTTGTCCCACATTGGTACAGTTTATAGGTAAGAGTTTATATTGGGAAGTGTATCCCACATTGAAGAAATAAGAAAGTTGTATCCACTTTATAAGGCTAAAGGGCTACTCCCCTCATAGTCATAACTCAAATGGTTTTGAGGTGGAACCTCCTTGGTCGTGTAAAGTGGACAGTTGTGACGGGTGTGGCCCACGCTCGTTTATTACTTTTTGTATAATGTTAATAAATCTAAAGTATATGTGTCGGTTAAAATGTAACACTTAAAATATGAAAGATTGGAGGGAATTTTTTTTTTTTTTTTTAAATTATTTGGACTAATTCCCCATACTCATTTAAAAAAAACTTATCAAACGATATTGCAATTGATGATTGAGCACGGAACATCCATACTTTGTTTATGTAATATCTAAATTTCTCTCCAAAATGTAGTAACTTGTTCGAGTCTCTCATAGTTTTAATCGAAAAGGTACATTTTGACAATTAAGTACGTACTATACTACTACCTTCTCCATTCCATATTAGTAGACTAGTAGAAGTTACTTGAACATTATATTATGTTATTTTAATAGTTTCTTGAACATAAATTCCTTAGC